ATTACTATGACAACAGGTATTACCGAACAGGAACAACGCGAAATTATCAAATGGGGCGTTATACAAGAAAGATCCGCCGCTCAAATTAATCGTGAGCTCAATCAACAAATGGACGAGACGAAGTTCTTCGAGCGTAATGTGCAGAAATGGGTGCGAATGTTCAAAGAAGGAAGAACGGAGACAAGTAAAGGCCGAGGTGGTGCTCACAATGTTCACTCCCGCACACGAAGAACGAGTAGCTGAAATCAAGCGTCGAATGGCTGAGTGCAGAGACTGGACCATTGTCAAACTTGCCCGCGAGACCGGCATTCCTGCTACTACCGTTGGCCGAGTTGTGTCCAAAGATTTGAAGATGGTCAAGAAAATGTGTGTATGGGTACCTCATTCACTTACAGAAGCTCAGGTCCAAAACCGAATTGATGCCTGTAGAAACAATCTTCTCCGCCACCGACGTAACTCACGACTCTTGAATCGAACGTTGGCTATAGATGAAACATGGTTGGGTTTGTTCACTGAACTCGAAAGTCACAAACGTCGGGTTTGGATGGATGCCCATGAAGAATTGCACGAACTGGTTCATGAATAGTTACGCTGTTCCAAGCGGTTGCTCATCATGGTAAAAAATTTCTGGGGCGGGTGATTCTGTCCAGAAAAAATGACCATCACTGCAGTGTTTTGCAGTTACTCGACGATAATATCAACAATTGGATAGCACCACACATCTTCAAGAAGGCAATTATCGCTCATGACAATGCAAAGCCCCACGCATCTCGAGTTGTGCAGCAGTTTTTTGAATAAACGAATAGTGAAACCTGGATTCAACCGTCGTATTCTCCCGACCTCTAGCCGTGCGACTTTAACTGCTTCGGTCAAATGAAGATATGTCGCAGTGGCAAACGCTTTGACAACTGGTCGATCGCCAAAATGGACATCAGCAGCATTTTATCTGCACATGTTGAAGAAGAGAAGCTACTTGGTGTCCTGCTACTTGGATGCTGGGAGAGGGTCATCAACAATGATGGAGCCTACCTGACAGAACGCTAAAATATCAGCTTTTATCTTGTTTGCTGCTCATTTTATTCGAATAAAAGCTTGCGAACTTTCGAATGAGATGATCTAATATAACGCTAGAAACAGCACCCACATTTGATAATTCCCTCAACAACTCGAAAGCTAATGTCGGAGGAAGAATTGTGTCACCAGCCTCACACCCTTTGCAAGTCAAAGTTTAAGTGCCACAGGCAAAACTCTTCGTCTTACAGTGTGCTACTGAGGAGTGGATTCTAATAAGCAATTAGAAAAGAAGGATTGAGCATTTCAACAAGACAGGACGCCGAAACTATAGAAAACGTTGTGCTAAGGGAATGTGCTTCATCATCTTTACGTCATCTTTACGGAGTAGTGGCTAGCTGTTCCTTGGAGCAAAAGGTCTATGCATTAGATACCACGTGGAAGTCTCGCAAGGTAAAGACCGTTCATAACGTAAGCTGCTGACAGCGCGGGTCAGTTCTTCCTCCCTCTTCGGCAACACATACTAGTTGTCTACACAAATGAGAAGCATACATGCACTCTTAGATTCAAACCTTTTTTCTCCACTCAACACCTTTCGTATGTGAAAAAGTGTCGAGAAGCTTGCTGCTTGCAAATGGGGCATGGCATTTGTTCAACCTTTTGAATTTATTCTCGTCAGCAAACTTAAAAATCCGTCTGTACACAGTATATTTGTTCATGGAAGTCTAACCCCATTAAAGCTGCAGCTGCATTTATTTCTGCAGCCATTTTCATTTTTTTCGGCTAACGTTTGTCTTCTAGAAATGGATTGTGGCCTAGAGAATACGACGATTCGAGCTTGTTGTTGACATGTCCACACATTACGATTCAGTAGAAGTTCATGCGAAAAATATCGAACGATCTCGGAGAAGAAGTCACTAAATGCGGGCAAAGACGGAACGCATGCTAAATGAGAACAAATCTTCACTTTTCATCGAAAGCTGATAAATTGAAGCCAAAGCAGATATTTAAGCGGAAGTGTATCATAATCATAACAGTACAGTTTCTGGAAATCGCTCAGGCCCTAAATTTTGGCCCGCACGCAAAGCTGTCAATACGTTTATGGATAGGATCACGCATAGGGTTGCGTGGAGGCAAATCCAAAGCTGCTTCACTTGTTTCACAAAACCCAAACATCGGTGAAGGTGAGCAGACGTCAGGAACGGATCAATATCTCAGGCCATATCATCAAAGTCAGCATTTCCTAGATGGACGGCGCCTACACTTTCTTTATGAATAACACGGCCCTGAGGGCCAGAAAAAAATGTAGGAGTGACCAAGGTGTAGGCGTGCTAGCCATGCATAAACTTAGCCGTTCGTCGGGTAGTTGCTGATGGGGGGGAACTCAAACTACGGTAAAGGAGGTGCGCATCAAAGCGGAGTTGAGGTCAAGTACCGAATACTCTGTCAAATGTGTTCTGGCGGAGGTGAGGTGAGATTTGATAGATGTGAAGCGCAGGGTGGATAGGGCAAGACGGAACGCGCAAATGTGAACTGAGCAAAGCTCGGTGCGGAACTTGCGCCAGAATGGGCAATGCGAAGAAAATGACTTTTTTATTCGTTTTAAAACAGCACAGACACCGGTAGAACAAACAGGGGTTAGGGAAGCGTCAAAAAATGAAAAAACGGAAGCACTCGCTGTGGGCCTGACGTTCTCACAGCAGGCTGCGCCCCCAACACATATTCATGGATCGCTTTACCATATCCTGTAGGTGGCATTATAGGGAGGCAAAGTTTATATCTAGAAGCTCACGACTTCGTTCAAAGCGCCCTTTGTTATGACGTTTGTGGAACGTGAGCGTTCATGGACCAACTGTTGACGAGATGAAACACGAAGAGGAAAAGTTTGAAGGCTAAGATGTTTAAATACATATGAACGTGTAACATTGATGCGAGGTCATGGTTACCTAGTAATCAAGCAAGAGTCTTCTGTGGTACGAGAATCCTTACAATATATGACGCGCTGCCTGTTCGTCTGCCTGTCTGCCACAAAATTTATATATACGATATGATCTGAAGAAGCACATGGAGAAACAGGGGCCATGTTTGAGATGGGTAGGTTGTAGGGCAAGATCAACGGAGCATATGTGAGCCCTGCGGAGCTCTCCCTGCAGGGCAAGGTATGCTCAGCAGTTGACGGTGTCATGGGCACAATTTCTCAGTTTGCTTTCATAGCAGCCCAGACGCTGATATCAAATGAGCAAAGGACAACAAATGAGAGGGAAACCTACAAGAGATGGGCGTAGATGTTTGGCATTGGGCAGTACTTTCGACATGAATTAACCACTCCATTCAACGAAGGGGAGGAGACCAGAAAAAATGAAGGGAATGAGCAAGGCCAGATGATCAAATCCTTAGAGTGAGCGAAATCGCTTTTTGGCGTGCGGGACTACATCTGTCCAGAGAAAAAGAATGCATGAAGAATGGTGAGATAAGGCCAAAAGGCGGGCGGCCGAATTTTCACGGTAGGAGGGATCTACGCTGAGGTAAGCCAGACTATGATCAAAGGCGCAGTTCACGATAATTTTGGTGTACCCAGTTTTCAACGACCTATGATATTAACAGTTTAATGGTGCAAACGTGATCAAAAAATGTGAAAACAGCCTATTTAAGTAGACATAAAGCATCAAAAAGGATTGGAGGGTTGGACGAGAATGTGACCACAAAACTTCCATGAGAAAGGTGTTTGGTGTCATTGCATACAGCTAACGACAGTAAGCCAAATTGTTCAAAATGGAATGAAAGCTAGAGCCTCTATTCCAATTCCATAGTCGGCCCAAAGAAGTGTGTGGCATTCACACGATACAGCCTGTGGCCCCTTATTGTGCCCTTTTTGGGACATTTCCTACCTTACAACCGCAGGTTTGGTATAAGCGGGCTTTGGATTTTCATTATACTACGAGAAATCTCATAAGCCCTTTTCAACGTGAACTGTGCCTTTAGGCACCGATAGACCTGAATTGTGCGTTAGGCACCAATAACTCTTCCCAAAAAACGGAACACGAAGAAAGTCAAAATATTTGGTAGGCGGAGCTAAAATTGGAAATTAACAACTCTGTTCAAAGACGTACTTGACGTTCCGAAATTGTTCTACATATGATCATTCCATTACTTACTACAAGTAGAAAATTCGCCTTTGTATGTCTGTTCCGAAATCCGGTATTACCTAAAGAAGCTCCGAAGAGGTCGGGTCAAGTTTGGAATGTGCGGGTCTCGGAGTCCTGATGGATGTGAGTCATTGGACCTGCTAACAGGGAGCGGAACATGCACTGGAGCGGGCAAAACAATGAGAAAAAGCTCAAAATTCAACTCCGAAAAGTAATGCATGGAAAAATGAACCAAGTCACGGGCACTTGAAAAGGACAAAGCCAAGGCACTGAAAAAAATGGACAGAGTCAGAAATCGATCTTTAAACCGGACAAAGAGCTCATCCGCAGCGAGCTGAGCGTTATTAAACTTTTTGCATGTACCCGCAACCCACCACAACCTACAGCCGAACTTTGGAAGGTGGAGTTCAGATCAAGAAGTTCATCTCTGTTTGATAGCCCAGTTGATCATACACACACGATGCTAACCTATAAGTGATAACGAATCAGACCCGTACTGGTCGCATCAGCTGAAGAAAGCGCTAACTCAATGGCTTTTCACGCCTTGACTCATCAAATATGCTGAACCATCTTTATCCACCTTTATCGACCTCATTTGTTCCACTTCTACGAAGAGACTTCTTCGCGTCGTGCCGTGTTGTTCCCTCGGAGAAGGGTCGATGACGCAAGCCAGAACGAACCTTTCTCCAGGAATTACCCCGTTACTGTTTCTCTATTCGAAAGGAGACTAGGAACTGCTCTCGTCAAAGCATTAACATGAACAGTTCCATTGCGCTAGTAAGCGTACTTCGCAACTCTTCGATCGTGGGGGTTGCTGTGTCAACTGTTCAAAACAAGGCGACCATGGAACAAAACTGGCAGTATCCTTTGAATAGTCGCGGTTTTCTTTCGCACCGATCGATCGGTCAAATAGATCCGGAGCTCATGCCAAGGCTTCGTGGATTGACAGTGAACAACTGGGTCAGTAGAGGTTTAACAATCGTGGTTTCACTATCAGTCGAGCATTGATTGTGCACCATACTGAAACCAGCAATTTTATGTCGATCTCCATTTTGTTAGTGGCACACAACTCAATTCCTTTTATCTAGGACGTCAGGGATTTCCATCATTGCATCATGTCAAAAATTGATGCTCCGAGTGACAGCGTATTAAAACTCAAAACTAACTTCGTTCACTGTGATCGTTTGGTATTAACGAGGCTGATGCTCTCGCTGGCATGAAACATACAGGATGTGGGCGGAATACCATCAAATCCGAAAAATGCGCCTTCTATCGTTTGTTTGTGCTCGGGTTGATGAAAACACCAGACAAATCAATTTGCGGTAGTCAAGATCGCTCGCTCACTTCCGTTAGTCCGCGGACGACGAAGAATGAGCTGTTTCAAATGGTTAAATGGAGAAGTCGTTCCATAATCAAGTGTTATAGTGCAATAAAACATAGCAAACTGTGTTCACGTTTTTTTCTAAGTCTGATGAAGACTACTCGTGATAAGCAAAGGTCAAAAAACGATGTTTCAATTTCTATGGAGTAACATACTCGCTTCTATCAGCTCTTTCACGTGACGCTATGCGATATAACTGGTGAGCAATTCTGGGTATATCCACTGAAGTGAACAGGAGCAAGAGCTTCCGCACTGCAGCTGTTTCCCGCGCGACGACCGCAAAGAACCCTAACCCAGTCGCCACCTTGAACTTTGTCTCTTTACCGTTCATGAGCTATAGCCAACTGAAGTTCAAGGCTGATATAACAGAGCATTCAGAGTGTGATGGATGGCGCGACGTTTAGGTAGAGCAAACTTTCCCTAAATCTCTATTGAAGTCTGACATTTCGTCATAATTTTTCATTTAAACGCAATATAATTTGAAGGATGGAGCCAACATCGTCATAGCTGCTAAAACCGCAACCGCTCACCCGAAGCTGCCGGGAACTATCTACACTGCTGCAGAAGAGGTTGAAAAGGTATTGTAACATTACTTATCACGTTCTTTCTCCTGTAAGTCACGGACGTCGTAACTGAATACTAGAAAAAGGTCTCTGTTGTACTCCAAATCGAACTCAGGCTGGGGGAAAAGCGTTAGCGTGCATAGTTGACGTACGTGATGAGGTATCCGTGCGGCAAGCTGTCGAGTCGGCTGTGAAAAAGTTCGGCGGAATAGATATACTCATCAACAATGCCTCAGCGATTAGTCTCACAAACACTGAAGACACTGAGATGAAACGATATGATCTGATGCATTCAATAAACACAAGAGGAACTTTTTTAATGTGAGCTCAGCTTGTCTCTTGAGAAGTTTTATTTTTATTAATGTTGGATAATTCCAGGTCAAAAATATGCCTACCATATCTCAAACAAAGCAAAAATGCACATATTTTAAACATTTCTCCACCATTGCTAATGGAACCAAGGTGGTTCTCTAACCATGTGGCATATACGATGGCAAAGTACGGTATGTCAATGTGCGTGCTCGGAATGCATGATGAATTCCGGTCGTACGGAGTTGCCGTCAACGCGTTATGGCCATTGACGGGTAAGTTCCAAGAGTTTGGGCAGTTAAAATGAATAATCATGATCGTATCAGTTTTATTGCACAGCATCAGCTATAAACAATATCCTTTTTGAACCACTAAGAATTGTAAAAATGTATCAATGATGCTCAGATACGTCTTTATCTGTGACGGTTCGTCCGATTCCCATAATCAGGGGATTCGGATTCCCATTGGCATAAAATTATAGGTCGCAGGGAAAGTGTGAACGACGAATCACAGTTCAACAAAACCATCCTCCCGGCATGGGTATTCCTTACCGCTTACAAAATTATGGTCTTTCCGTTTATTTAGCTGAGTCTCTTCCATAATGGACTGCCAATGCTACAGTACACTGGGGCTCTCGGGGTGCCGAAGGGAGGGTGAGGAGATAACGGCCGCTTGTGGGCCCCGCCGCGAGTCGACTGACTTGCTCCTGAAGCTTTCTGGTCCACCTGGCTCGATGAGTTGGCTGACGAGTTGGAGATCACATGCGATCTCTTGATCGGACACGTGCTCTGTTGATTGGGGGCACATCGTACCCAGACATCCCTCCCCTTCGAGATGCCGACGTCCTCGGCGGCGTTCCCATTGCTGGCAGCTTTGCCGCCTGAGCATACATTCTTATGCTCTCGTACAGGCTTCTTGCATTTGCGACACCAGGGTACTTTGAGTAAAATTGCCAGCTGGTCTCTGGCGACCCGATTTCATTTCCGTGTATATTTTTTCATCAGGCACTTTGGTAGTAGCAGTTTGGAAAAATTGTTCCTTTCCGGCGTCTTTTGCCAATTTTTCGTCAAGAAATTTCCAAATTGCATACACATTCTTCCACTTCTCGATGTTTTCATGCGAGCAAGGTGTCCATGCGTTCACCGCTTTTCCTCCCTCCTCAAACTGCTTGGCAGAAGCAGCAACTATCTTTGCTACTACTTCCTTCCCCCATTGGGTGTCGATGGGCCAAACAATTACCCAGGTGGAAAATGTGTGCCATTCCTTCATCTTCTCACTGAGTGTCTTGAATGTGTTCGTCACAACAGTTCGGATGCTTCCGCACATCCCATCAGCCTCCATTACAGCTCCACATTCTGGCGCCGCGTAAATAGTGGGTCCTTCTTTGGGTGGGCGTGTTTCTTTGGATTGTTCGTTGAGTTCTTTTTTTAGGGCCTTCAACGCCTTGTTATACATCCCTTCTACTCAATGGTGTTCTACTAGGATGTGTTCCTTTATGGCATCGATTTCACACACAAACTCCGTCCATTCAGTGCATCTCTCGTATGCGAACTTCAGCACCATTTTGAGCGCGGCTTCGTCGAGGCATATTACGCCTTGTCTGTAGAACTTGATCTTTTTTGCCACGTCGATGTCTTTTCGGCAGAATATACTGCATGCCACCCAGGCTTTCCACACTATGCCGACTTGCTCGTTTGCGAATGCTTCTGGGAAAGACACTTCTTTGATGTCCGACAACTTCGCATTGAAAAGGCAGTCGTCTAGACATTGATGAAGAAGGTGGCCAGGCTGAGTGGTGGTTGACAGTGTCGCATCTCTGCAAAACCGAGTGTTTAATCGGTTGGCTCGAACATTACAACTATTTTTCTTTCGCCCTCTTTTTCTTCTACTAGTTACTGTGTCTAACCTGTCATCTGGGATACATGAGGGTACGATCCTTAATTGATCTATGGGTAACTGTATTGGATCGCTGTTTTCTCCAATTTTTATGACCGTTGCTGAATTTTGGCTCATCATTATAACTCTGAACGGTCCTGACCATTCGCACGAAAGTTTTGGGTGCTCTTTTTTACCCTTTTCAGCGGGACATTTGACGTACACTCTATCGCCTACTGCTGGGTTTTTAGCGCAGTTTACGTTGTGTTCATTATCGTACGCTTTCTTCATGGGTGCACGAGCCCTATCTTTATTTTTCTTTACTCTCCCGTGTATTTCTTGTATTCCTTGTACTACGGCCGTTTTGAAATCACACATGGTTCTATCAATTATCGGTGAAAATGTAGTTGGGGGAGCCACCCACCCGAAGGTCAGTATATCAAGAAATGACGTCAATGAAACGCGTTATGTTGTGTTATATCACGGACATGCCAGTTTTCAAATAAGGGCTCTCGTAGGGAAGGAGCACCGCAAGTTTTTTTTTTATTTTTTTCTTTTTGTTTGCAGGAGTTAATCATCCCATCCACCCCGGTGCTCTTACCCTACCTAGGCTTATTTGGGAAACTAAATTTATTAGCTGAAACTGCATAGAAGAGCTAAGGTGGTCGGTTCCCATCATCTTCAACGCATCCGATGCAGTGCTGATATAACAAGGACTAACACGTTAGAGTGAGTTCATTTCTTGATATACAGACCTTCGGATGGGTGGCCCCCCAACTACATTTTCACCCAATTATGTATTTCGACACTTCTTGCATTGGGATCACATTTGATGGATAGTTTGGGTCGATCCCGTGTAGGATGAAAAATGGACTTTCGCCGGTGGACCTATGAGGGGTCATGTTGTATGCCATCATACAAAAAAGAAGTCTTTTATCCTATTCTGTGGGTACCTTCGTGGTTCTCCTCAGCATTGCGAGTATGGTTCAGTCTTTCTGTGATTCCATTCACACGAGGATTATATCCTTTGGTTAAGATGTGTTGATATTTGCCATTCTTTCTATTTCCTCCATTATTTTGTTCTCGAACTCTCCTCCTCTGTCTGTTAAGATTACTTTCGGCCAATGGCATCCATCGGATATCCATTTGCAGAAAATTGCTCTTGCCACAGTCTCTGCGCTTTTATCAGCCACTGGGTAGGTTGCTGCAAACTTGGAGAAATGATCTATGACGGTTACTGCGTAACGGTTCACGAAACATTTTCAATTGGCCATGGTCGATCATGAAGTCCGATACTCGAGTAGGGTTATGTATCCCATTTATCCTTACGACTTCGTCGGTTTTCCCTACGTTTATGAGCTCTATTAACCGCGACCAACCATCGTTCCGTTCGAGCTCCTTCAACCATGCTATTTTTCTGTCTGCACTGTACACACAACTGTTTCGTGTGCTCCCTCGATGGTGTCTTCGTTATCTTGGCTTCTAACTGCCCCTCGGCTCAAGGCATCTGCTACAATATTCGCCTTTCCTTTGATGTATTGGATCTGAAGATCGTAGCGTTGGAGTTCAAGTGTCCAACGAAGTATTCTTGCAGATGCGTTAGTCCTTTTAAAAAGTGCTGTGAGTGGTCGGTGGTCGGTTTTCACGATCGTTGGTGCTCCATAAATAAACACGTGAAATCGTCGTACTGCGGAGACCACACTCAAAGCTTAGAGATCGGTTATGTGGTACTTCCTTTCTGCTTTGCTTAAAGTTCTCGATGAGAAAAAGATGGGATGTAAGAATTTGTCTTCATCTTCTTGTGAAAGTACAGCATTAATGCCAATACTTGAGGCGTCGGTAAAAATCACGAAAGGATGCTTTCCACTTCGAGCATCTTCAATTTTTGGCTGTTTAAGCACAGGAGCGGATAAGATCATTTCCTTGAGTTTTTGGAGTGTTTCGTCGTGCTCGATATCCCAGTGCCAGTTCGTTTTTGATGATGTTAACTTGAAGAGAGGAGACGCGATTTTTGAAAAGTTCAGGCAGAATTTCCTGTAGAATGACATCATACCCAAGAAGGTTTGCAACTCTTTCACGTTCTTTGTGTTGGGTAATCGCATACCGCTTCCAACTTTTTCTTGTCCATGTGCAATCCTTCGCTATCTACCACGTGTCCCAAGAAGTTAACACTCGACTGTAGTAGAACACACTTTTTCGCTTTCAATCGCAAGCCTGCTTTTCTCATTCGATCGCAAATTTCTCGCAATAGTTCCATGTGACGTTCGCGTGTATTGTTGCATATCATCACGTCATCAATGTAACAGAAAACTTCTTCGCCCAATAGTTCTTTGAGCACTGTGTCCATTAGTCTCTGGAAGACGGCAGGGCTGGTGCTAAGCCCGAAAGGAGCCACATTGAAATGGTAAAGACCGCCTGGTGTTGTGAAAGCAGACTTGTGCTTCGTACTCTCGTCTAACGGTATTTGCCAATAACCGCTACACATGTCCAATGTCGAGAAGTATTTTTTTCCCGGCCAAACTTCCTAAGATTGCGTCGATCGTCGGTAGCGGGTAAGTCCTTTTTGATGCGTTTGTTGAGTTCTCGGTAATCGACGCATAACCTTATGCTACCGTCTTTCTTTTCAACGAGTACGATCGGGAATGCCCAGTCTGAGTTGCTTTTTTCTATGATTTTCCTATTTTCCAAGTCCTGGAGCATTTCTTTCAGCTTTTTTCGCAGGCTTAACGGTACCGGTCGAGTTATTAGCTTGATTGGCTGACTATCTCCTGTGTCGATACTCATCTTGACCAAATCTGGTTGAGCTCCTTCTCGCTTACAGCGAACACATCAGCATAGTTAGTGAGTTGGTCTGTGAGATCTTTCTCGATACAACTTTCCTGTTTTGCTGTGTTTGTTCTTGAAGTACTTTTCGCTTTCCCTCGGCACTTATGCTGACCTTGGTCTAGCATAGTGTGGCCTTCCCACTTTGTGGACCATTTTTCAGTTCCACATTCGCCGAGCTTTTCTCCTTTCTGTATTACGATGGGATGATGATCTTGGTTTCGTATGGGTAAGGTGATTCTATTGTTCTGGACCTTATACGCTCCACTGTTTGTGCCTTCTTTGGTTGCCCACACAACAGCTTCCAATGTTTCCTCTGGAACGTCACAAAACTCACCGAAGACTGCACTTACTAGACGCACACAAAGTGCAGGAATGACTGTTCGGTCTGCCGCGAAAACCGAACTCGTGGGAGCCTTCTCTTGGGTTTTCCTCTTCTGCGCCTGTCGTACAATGGCCATTTGGACCCCAGGTTTGTTGAGCGCGTTTGTTCCCAAGAGGATCTCGTTGCTTTTTCCGCTTGAGATGTGGAATGCGACTTCACTCGGGTCTCCACCTTTTCTCGTGAAATCCTACACAGATCGTCCCGCATTTTGTTCTCCCTATCTTGATTAGCACTAAGGGTATGTATGCGAGAGCATGCCTCTTGAATCACCTCATTTATGTCCGATTTGATCGGTTCTCTGTATTTGCCTGATGTTCTTTGCTCATTCAAACCTCTGGCTAAACGCTCTGGTATGCTCTTCAAATTTTAGCTATCTTATCCATTTCATCGTCAAAACTCACCGAAGTCGTCTTCACTTTCTTCGGTTCAACTGCCTTGGACGACTTTTCGTTTTCTGCTGCCATGTTTGCACTTTCTGCAACACAAAAGTTTAGTTTTCTTTACTTTTCTTTTGCGCCTTTTATCGGCGATCAACGTCCTCTCGTGGACTCGTTGGCTCCTTCGTAAGCCGTGTCAATACAAGAACCAACCGATAATCCTTGTCTTTGAACTTATAGAGCCGCTGTTCCGGCCCCCATGTAGTGGATGTAGCGAACTGGTTCTCGGACCAACGGTAGCACAATACAACACAATCAGATTAACAACAGTTTATGGTAAAAAAGAAACGAACACACACAGAATACGTGAACAACGGTTGTGGAAATAGAATTCTTTGAGCCGACTGGGGCTCTTGGGGTGCCGAAGGGAGGGTGAGGAGATAACGGCCACTTGTGGGCCCCGCCGCGAGTCGACTGACTTGCTCCTGAAGCTTTCCGGTCCACCTGGCTCGATGAGTTGGCTGATGAGTTGGAGATCACATGCGATCTCTTGATCGGACACGCGCTCTCTTGATTGGGGGCACATCGTACCCAGACAGAGTTAGAAATCCGTGGAAAAAATGTAGGGTAGAGTCTGAGAGACCGCTAGATGGGAATGGATTCGACACACTAGTGCATCTATTGTACATGACTCGTGAAGAACTGACCACACCAAGGCAAATCTCTTTTGATTAACAATGCAACCGTTTTAGCTCGTGCTTTAAAGAGCCAGCTAGTGAGTAAATTTCTTTTAGTACCCGTTACAAGGGCAAATTTTTCCAATTCCAAGCCGTACACCAATGAACGGCGGTTTCTTTTTTTGGATCTGATGTCCGCAGAAAAGGATGGTCATATTAGTGTTCTACCATACAACTCACCAAGCGCATCGATTAGTGTGTGTATGATACGGATCTCCTTTGTTTAGCTTAAATTGCTCATCTTTCTCCAGGCGAAGTGGTTGGAAACAATCAAGGTATTGTAGGGATGACATTACCATTGTTAGGTAACATAAAGTATATAATGATAGTAGAGAGGAGATGATCGATGTAGTTCTATTAAGTTCGCTGCGCCCTTTACATCAACACAAGGGTGCTCGCTGAGAGGCATTCAGAGTATTGCAGCTTTCAAAAACGCAAACCAAGTACAAGCGGACAACTACAGGTGCGGCAAAAGTTCTGGCAAGGGTAAGTATGATCGTAAAAACGGTGTAAATCGATCGATACATGGTACTACTCCAACAGCATTTATCAACAGCTATATAGATCACAAAAACAACCTAGATCTCGAAATAGCCTCTCTTTGCGCAAATACAGGCTGAAAGTCTCCTAGGAAACGCGTCGACGGCGGCAGGGAGATAGTTTTCGTCCAAATCCTCCCATGCTTCAACGGGGGTTGCACGTAAAGCATCCAAACCTCTATGCTTAGTAGAGCAGGCTTTCATCTTAAGAAGCGACCACACGGAATAGTCCAACGGATTTGGGCCTGGACTGTTTGGGGGCCGATCGTCCGACGAGATGAAGTCTGGGAAGGGCGTTGCGCACCAGCCCTGTACCACTTTGGACCTGTGTGCTGGAGCTGATGAGTCCTGTTGATAAGTCCATGTCCGGTTGCCAAGATGGGATTTTGCCCACGAGAGTTCCTCCTTCTCCAATACACCTTTTAAGTAGGTCTTACTGTCTACCTTGACCCCTTTCTACTAGAATATCAGGGGTATCTTGCTGTCCGATGTGATTGCCCCAAAAACCATCAACGACTTGTGGTGTACAGATCGCTGAGCAATCCCTCCGTGTTGCTGGTTTTTGCAGGGATTCTTGCTATAATCCCATCGTTTGGATGTTCAGGAATTGATCTGTTAAAACAGACATTCATCAGTGAAAAGGATGTTGCTGTGCCGTGCCTACGAAAACGCTTTAAAGGCTCCTTACATCTATCTAGCCTAGTTTTCTTCATACGCTCAGTCAGCATGTGAGCTTTTCTGATCTTATGAGAGCGAAGTCGAATGGTAGGTGACAATCCTTACAACAGATCGAGGAGAAACACCCACCTCAAAAGCCATTTTTCCTTGGACCTACGAGGGTGGCGGCGGATTTTTTCTCGAATGACTTTCACGATCTCCTTTGTCGTTGCACTCTTCAGTATTCGACTTTTGAGCTTGTCCTCCATAGTTCCTGTCGTCTTGTACCTGTTTACGTTGTTGCACACGGTTTTTAAGGGAATCTGGAGCTGTTTGAAGATGGTCTTTGCCGTGCATCCAGCTAGATGGAGGTGCAGGATGGAAGCTCGTTGGTTTTTGCTTTTCACCATTCTGTAAAATGGCATATTCAAGAACGGCCCATTCATGGAATGTATAGAAGACGACCTGCAGTAAATAGTGGCACTGATCCTGTCTAGATCGAAGGCCTCATTTTTTTTATAGAGAGCCTGAAACGGACTTTGCCAAAACTTTTGCCGCACCCTGTAGAATACACGCCAGTGAGATGACCCCTTTGTTTTATCAAGCCGAGCTATCATACAAAAATTGATTGTCAACACTAGTTCACTAGCAATGCACAATGCTACGAACTATTACCGGTCTTCTACACAACGTACCATGTGCGATTTGAAACCTCAACAGCAGATGAAATGTGATATCAAGAATTCTTCATATCCATGCAGCCTTACAGAAAGTGGTACTTTTGCGTAGAAACGTGTCATAAGATGAGATTGAGACAGAGACATCCACGATCATAGAAAATGGCATTGAAATACTCAAGGAAAATAATGGCTCATGATAAGTAATGTTCCGTAAGGTAATAGAATCTGTTGCATTTCTCAGCTTGCTTTGCAACATTCCAGGCATCCAAGTGAATCGTTGCTTACGTCTTGACAAACGCGGGGAAAGCTACGCTTGGGGCTCGGTACACATAGGCTTTTAGCCTCTTCTCAAACTTTTTGTAGCTTTATGAAAAAAAGTTGAGAGCTGATGAAGTCGCTTTGATAAGAAGTATGGCGCAATTGAAGAAGGAGAGTGAAGGACAAAATGGAAGAGCAAAGAAGATGAAGAGAAGGAGGAACAAAAAGAGATGGAAGGAAAAACAAAATGGGATAAGAACGGAAAAGTGAAAACGAGTAGCAAAATCGATGGTCAAAAGGATGAACAAGAAGGAAGGGACTAGGGATGGGTTCGAAGAATGAGCAAGGAGTATCAACAAGAATGAGACAGACAAAAGGCGAAAAAAAGAAGGAAGAAGTAAGAAGAGGGAGGGAGGAAAAGGAGAAAGAAGGAAGAAGAAAAAAGAGGTCATTCGGCTATGCCTTCGTGTGAATTCAGTTGATGATATTTTAGCGAATTAAAGATGGTTCGCTGTCTCATCCTCTGCGAGCTATTAACCCAATAGCTTCTTCTTGTTACATGATTGTGGGGTGAGTATAGCCGCATCCTCGAGTCATAGCATGTGACTGAGAGAAATTATTACATTAGAGGCTCAGCGCTGAAAGCGTATTGTTACTGCTGACCACAACTAACCTCCTCTCCCAAATAATTTTCCCAAGGAAGCCTTTCATAGAAGTTGGGTAACGTTCAGTTTGCTCTATCCATTTGAACAGGACAGAGTCGGTCAGGATGTTTTTGTTGTGTTTGAGAATAGTTCATGTTTTTTTGCGTCCTACCATCTAATCGATTGAGACGTTAGACCCCAAAAACGTTTTCCTACATTTGCTGGAGGTTATTCAAAACCCTGTAAACGAAGCTAAAAAGAAAAAAACGTATTACTGCCAAAAGAATAAATGAGCCCTCAGATACGCTGGACTGATCACAGAATTTCAGGAGCTCTTTTACTATTCTAGTTCTCTTCATTGAAAGATATTCAGAAACGTTTTCTGTTCTTCGATGTGAGATGAAATTTTAGGATTCCTCAAGATAATTAGATTATTTCAGCGATTTGGACTGCTGCGATGGATATGCTCAGTAATGGCGCCGGTGCTTCCGGTTCACGAAAAGTAAGCTTTGCGATCAGGCTATGAAGAAACAATTCTATCGTATCGCCCATTTGCATATGACAAACTTCCCTTTCCATGCCCTTGTGAGGCATCGGCGATTGTTTTTTAAACTTTTTTGTCCTTCAATACTTCAATTTCGAGGTCGCTGAGTATTATTCCTGAATCAGACTTTCGCTCTAGTTCCTTACCAGTGCAGGTCGGGTATTGTAACAACGTGGATTTCTTGCTATAGGAGATTTCTCAAACAAATTTGCTTCTCTTCTGTTTGATCACCTCAGTTCAGTTTGGCAAAGCCTCTAATTTGACGTTGACTGGAGTCTACTTTTTTTTCTCTCGAAGTTTGTAGTAATTGTAGCCAAACCGAATAAGATGAAATTCAGGCTGCTATAATGGCAGACGCGGCCTATGCCATGTTGTCAAAAAATAGTCGTGAATACACTGGTCACTTTGCCATTGACGAGGAAATATTGCGAGCTGAGGGAGTGACCGATTTCACCAAATACGCCGTTGACCCCAGTAAGTACAGTTCTCCTGCTAAAAAACCATCTGAGACAGTCAATGTATATATATTGGAAAGGTCCTAAAAGGGGAAACACGCAGCAGTTGTTCTCGGCAATGTACTCGCTTTCATTGATACCACAGTCTGTCACCGTTGTCATTTTATTGGGCTTAGGTGGGACCGACTACTCGTGCTTCAGATGACCACAACCATTTATCTGCGATCTTGCTCAAAATATCATAGAAATTTTTTTCATGCTCCACGCGGATCAAAAAGGGTCTCACATTATACTCCGCTCGTGTTTCATTTCTGGCATGTACGCATGTGAGGTACTCATGAGTGAAGAGCTATGTAAGATGCCAATAATGAACATTTATAGAGAATTTCGCTTGGATTTCCCTAAAGGGGCTGCACATCAGATTTGATGGAAAACGGTCAGCAGGGTGTTTGATGACGCCTGATGCGAATTGATGGCAGTACATAAGTTCTTTTCACCCTAAGCTCTCCCATTTTGAATGTACAGAGTTTTGAATTTCTGTGCTTACAATTAGCTCACCCGCTTCAGTGCATGCCCCGCCCTTCTACTTTAGCACTTTTGTTTTCTCTCTTGCCTCTACGCCTTTATTGATCGCCGCCTATGAGTCTTCTTCTTTTCATTTGTAGACCCATCCATCCCCTTTGCTCCTTCTTTCCGACATCTGGGACGTTATGAAACCTAATCAAGGAGTTTTTAGATGCGCATGTCCCATCTCCCTTGAGCGAAGCTACGTTGAGCTCGCATTTACATTGTTTATGTAATTTTGCCTTTTGCCCAACATATCCCGAAGTTGACTCGTCTTCTCCAGGTGCTTCTTAAGGTAATATCGCTTTGCGGAAAAACAAGCAAACAAACAGACAGGCGCGAGCGTGTTGTGTATAGTGCACTTTGTTTACTTTACTAGTTCCATTAACTGCAACTGTATGCTCTTCTTGTAGATCGCTCTTGTGCTTTAGGCGCACCCCTGACAGCAGATTTCTTCATTCCGAATGCTGAGAATTATCCAGAGACGTTTCGTTTATCACGCGAAGGACAACCAGCTGCCAGTTTATCTGGGAAGGTAGAGTTTCAAGGCAAATAAGAATTCACACGTGCGAATATGAGGTACTATGTTTTGCTTTATAACATAATCAAGTGGGCGAGCACTTTCCTATAGCAGTGTCCTCTCTGCACAACTCGATTATGAGGCAGAGCAGAAGACCATGTACAAACCATTCGCTTCTGTCTTTCGCCAACCATGGTAGTCGCAGAATCCGACAAACAGGACGATGTGAGGAGCTTCTCAGCTGCACTCCCAGCTATTTTACGTGATCGGCGAGCAAATCCCTCCATCTCGGATTTTTTCAAATGCCAAGGCGACTCTCGTCTGACTCGCTCTGCCACGCGAACGTGCTGACGCGACGCATTTGGTGATGAGAGATATCAAGTCGTACCGGAGACGAGCTTGCATCGCGAAAGGTGTATCCGTTCTTGCAATCTTCCAGATCTCCCTAATGGTTTTCGGAAGAGATGACAGTCATGTCGCTATAATATTTAGAAAGAATCAACGGTGATAAGGTGGGCTAAGATGAATGGGTATGAGTCAGAGGACCTTGCACAAATCATTCGCTTCGGTCTTCTGTCTGTCATGGTATTCGTAGAACTCCGAAGAGGACTATGTGAGGAATGGTCCAGCCATTTTACATCATCGACAAGCAAATCTCTCCATCTCACAAGAGGCTTTTCCTTGGATCGTGAAGATCCAACTGAAGCCTTCTTCTTGTCCATTTGTTATCGTCTCTTTTCATGATATGATTGGCTCATCGAAGTTGGGCGTTTTTCCTGTAATCCACCAGTCAAAAAGGCTAGACACTTTGCACAAGTCGGAGCTGCGGAGTCCCGCTCGATATTAAGTGAGCCGGTTTAACCTCGAAAGACATCGCTCGAGCGCTTTGTGCTCGAAGCCGTTGACGTGGTCTTTCAGAGGTCCGAAGGCTGCCCACGCTGCTTCTCTCACACCCTTCCCTATGGAAATGGCGAGAGGTTGTTGGAACAGCTTCACCATCGCGCTGCAGTGACACCTGCGTTCAGCTAAAGTTCTTGCGTGG